GCATAAGGAACTTTCTGTGGTGAGAGATGCAAATCCTGCAGCACCCTTTATTATTCAGTCTGAGGTTGGTCTCTCCAGTCAATGTGCTTGTGTGCTCCAATGAACTCTGATTTTGCTATGGGAGGGGGGTGGGGGCGGGTAAACTAGTCGATACCATTCAATCAAATCAATATTCACATTCGCAGCTTTGTTACTTCGTTAAACAACCTGTCTTTTCTTCTTTCCTTACCTACTTATCAACAAATAGATGATATTTACAATTCGTAAATTGAGTTAAGGTGAGATTGCATGGCATGCTGATTTTGTAGAAATTGGAAAATTCCCTCAACTCACGAAAGTTCATTTTGCAGAGGGTACTGTTTCTTCTCCCTAGTTCGTCAACAAGTATGTATCGCAACCGCGAAAGTCTAGAATAGCGGAAAAGAGGGAATTTGTCTGATAAGATTGAAACAATACAAGCTCTCATTACAAGTTTATTTTACCCCCTTCCTATTGGCAAGCAATTCTAATTTCCGCAAATAAAAAAAAACAATAAATAATACACAAATTTCGTGCGTGTATTATTTATTTATAGGCACTCATGACGAAAAATGCCGTTTTTTGTTACTTTTGTTGAAATGAAGAAAGAATTTCTACTCAGTTAACTCCTACCTGGGTTTATGATTCCCCTAATTCGTGGTGTACTGTTGTAAATATAGAAAATTTGATTTTCAATGTACTTTTATCGAATTCTCCAAGGGCACATATTTCTTTCACTAGATCAAAGGTGGTCATCGCCCCGATATCTCAACTCACTACTTCTAATGAATGGAACAAAAGGTGGTATTTAGGAGCAAATCAATTGAAAGATGCATTTATTAACATTGAAATAAGCTTTGCTTAAACTTTCTTTTAAGAGTTTCTGATTATCCATAGCACTGCCTCTCCATATCTATCCTATTAGGTTATTAGAAGCTTTTATTTATGGAATTACCACTCAAGACGCTTGACTGTGCTGTCAGAATTCATGCGTCCACGACAAGGTTGTCGTACATTTCGTAGTTGAATTGGTAGGCGCTACGATTGATATAAGTATTGTTTGGTGTGTCTGTGAGCGTTTGGGTATTTAGGCAACCTGGAAGTAGAATGCAAGCTGAGTGTAAGACAACCTACAGTTAAATAGTTTTTTTACATAGATTTATTTATATTAAATGTTAGGCGTTGTAATAGTTATCATTAGCCCTTTAGTTGACTTCAGATTTCGCAGAGAGGAGAAGGAACATCAAATTGAAAAAGTCAACAGGGGGGGAACTGAAGAGTGTTTTAAAGATGTAAAAGAGGCAGACACAAAGGTAGAGAAAAGGTGAGATGAGTACTGTGGAAGAAGTCAAATATGACATACAGTGGGGTGATGGTAGTTTGAGGTCAGAAGTCAACTGCCAGTCAATAGACTTTTTAGCCGTATGAGTATACGTTGCCCAGGGTGCACCACGTGGAGGTAAGTCTATCGCAGACTCCCTTTTTTACTAAGAAGAAAACGTATGAAAATCAATTTTTCCAACTATTTGTTACCTTATCTTCAATGCTGATGAAGACTTAAGATCACCATGTGAGCCTGTGAATTAAATTTGCCAAGAATGACCAGAACAACTTTTCAATTTAGTCGCTTCAATAGTATGAGAATTAGTCTTCCGTTCCTACTTCTTCCGATTTACTTTTCAACATTCTCCTCATTTTGCGCAACAAGTTCAATTCACTGGAAGGCGATTAATCAACTTCCGTTCAAAGTCACCGAAGTTAGCATGCTTTGGTTCTCTCAACTGTTTTAGACCTGTTGGTGATAGTCAAGTTGGAATTAAATTTCTTCAGAAGAAAGGCCCTTTTTTGACGACTTTTCGATGAAATTTTCATTAAATGTGTCTCGAGGTTTAATACTGTGACAATGTCTCTTTTCAGTTAATAGAAATTACGTCTTTTGTGGTGGTGGTGGGGGGGGGGGTTGATTAAATGCATTGTAATTTTAGAGTAAGTGAGATGTGCTATTTCAATGGAGTTGACGGTTATGTCAGTGAGTTTGTATCATGGATTTGTTGGTGTTTCCAATGCTCATTATTCTTAACGGATAATGCCATAACATAGAGAGGCATACTCAATTTTGGGCTATGGTTTTTCATTTTCACACTCTCGATCCGCCAACTAGATTTCAAGTCCTTTGAATGGATCAGTCCAATGACGTAGATTTTCCACGTCATGTTCGAAACGAGGTGCCTCAAGCCACATTAACTGGCATTTCCACAACTACTACTCGAGGTTAATGGAAAACGGGATTAAATAAGCAAGAGGAACTGTCAACAGTCCATCAAGCATTGAAGAACTGGAGTAAAGGTGTAGAATAGGGCCTCATTTGATTTCTGGAATTGGTTTCTACAGTTCGGTTGTCTCTAAGTGAGTTCACGTTCGCGATGTTCAGAGTTCATCACTTAAATTGACTAATCTGTGAAGCTATTCGACGCATCTTTTTACTTTGACCGTGTAAGTTGCTGGATTTAACCAATGGAAATGTTATTAGTTTTACACCTTCCACGACTTTTTCAAAGTTTATATTGTTTTAATAAAGTGTGAAGTTTGTTAGAGCACTTTAATGAGAAGTTTATAATCTAGTGAAACCGGCAAAAAAATGATATACGTCTTTTAATATTTTGATTAACAGTGAGGCAATAAGATTTTGGCTCTGAAAAAAATACAATACGTTTTGGCTTCGGAAATATTTTTACTTGATTGGTCACTTAGGAGATGGAAATTAATCCCGAATATTTACATTTGCGATTTAAGATCTGCGTTATACTCAGAGTTTTCTCTGTTAATTTTGCCTATAAATGGAAGTCCATTCACCCGATGGGCATTCCACGTTGCAGTGTTCAAATCTCATAAGTAATCCTCTTCTTGGTTGATGCTTATAACTGTTGATGGTTTTTGGTGCAACACCTCGTTTTATTCCAAAGATTGAGGTGGTGAAATGAACCAGCATGATATCAATTCGCCGAAATTTCTGATAATGCAGTGCTTAGAGGGGCTAGGAATGTTAAATTGTCGGAAGTGTTTTAAAGTTGCGCTTACTCAGAGCAAAAACTGTCTTTATTAATAGAAAGTTATTACATTTAATTATTGCTGATTTTTGTGCTTCCTTTAATATCAACTTCCTTATAAGGCTTTATTCCTTTTAAAAGTTTTTTTCAAACGGCAGGCTTTGTGATATTTATCACTAGCCCTTAAACTTTGACTTCAGCTTCCCCCATTGGTGAGGGGTAAATTTATAGCGGTTAATTAATAGCATTTCATTAGCCGTCTTCTTGCTTCCCAGTATCTTTGGCTTTCCGTCCTTGTCTTTAGGGCTGGACACCGAATCAGGTGGGTCTTCTCCATTTCCTCCTGTAGGTTACATAGGGGGCATATGGATTGAGTGTATAGTCCCAATCTGTGAAGATGTTTTGCCTTTTAAAAGTTAAAAAAGGCCTCCTGTCGCGGAATATTGGAATTTAAATTAGTTGTTAACTGAGATTATGTCCCAATTTTGTTAACTTCACAGCAAATTTAAAATAAATTCCGCCCGATTAACTCACGAATGGAACATTGACTTTCCATTAACAGCAACAAATTGTGCTGTGAGAGAAATGTAGAGAGAAAAAAGAAACCACTGGACTTTAAACTACACCTATGCCTGTTCGGCACGAGAAGTAACCAAAAAAACAACAGCAAAATGAAAAAGAAGTCCTTGAACAGAGTGGAAAATGTCAACTAAATTGCTGCTGTTAGGCGTATTTTATGCCCGAAACCATTTGTAATTCTAACAATCGGCTCATCACTTCCTGGTCTCACTTGTAGAGATTCTACCCACCGTCCACTGTGGAATTGGACGGTATTGGAACATGTGAGTTGACGGCAAACGAAGGTCACCATTTCTGTCCCCTTGGACCGATGGATTGTATCGACTCACCGTTTGGACCGAAATGCAGAAGTGAAATGGAGTCACGCCTAATTGACGCTTCCTCGAAATATGGAATATACGAGCACAGTGAGTCGACTTGTTTAATATGCATATGGGACAGTCAATCAGATATTTATTTCAAATGGCAGGCGTTATGATAGTTATCATTAGCAATTTAGCTGACTTCGGGCTTCATAGGAGGAAGGTTCATCAAAGTAGCAGAAAGTCGAGGAGTGGGGATCAGAAGAGCGATTCACAGATTTAAAAGAGGCAGACAAACACAAAGGTAGAGAAAAAGGTAAGGTGAGTACTGTGGAAGGGGCCGAATATGACAACCAGGGGGGGGGGTCGTGGTAGTTTGAAGTGAGAAGTCAACTGCCGGTTAATTGACTTTTTTGCCGTATGAATATACGTTGCCCAGGGTGCACCACGTGGAGGTAAGTCTACCGCACATCCCTCAATCAGATATTATTTCTGTTCAATGCATGCCTTATTCTTTAAAAGGTATGCTCGCATATATACTTCTCTTCGCATCAACTCACCTTGATCGCAAGAATATCGATTTCTCATCATTTAATTAGATCTTTTGAACTTCCATTTAGTTGAGGCTTAGTTCAGAGATAATTAAATAAAAATGTCGATAGATATCGATTTTCAGTTTTTTGCATTTACTAATTTAGTTCAAAATGAATTCACCGAAATTGAACCGTTTAGAAATTGGTTGATGGTGTCGCCAGAGTATTTCTCTCTTCTGATAATTGGGATTCAGGCTCTTTTAATAAGATCAGGAAGATAGTTAATCCACTTCTCCTGTGGGTGTGCAAAAATCTGAGTTTATATCTTATGAATAATTTAGCACGCTTAGTCTGGTATAAACTATTTCGTTATGATCTAAAGTCGTCATAATTCCAGGTTGTCTGGAGCGGTTTATTTACTACTGATGATCCAGCGTAAAGATCATATTGTTATCAAATAAGTCCACCAATTTGACAGAAATGAATTAAAAAAAATAAATTTTCGAGTAGTTTTATGTGATGTCGTTTTCCAAGATTGGTTAAAGACTCAATTCGAATTCATTCAGAGAACGTAATAAACCCCCCCCCCTCCTCATCCCCTCCTATACTCAGCTAAAATGACCCCAGTCGATAAAATTTAAATTTACAGGCAATAAGTTAGTTCGATTTGGCAAAAGTACTTTAAGTGAACATTGGAAATCAATAAATAGTCTGATGGCAACTTAAGCCATTGATGCGCCAGAAACCTTTTTATAAATTCTCCGGTCTTTCTCCCTCCTATTTATTCTTCGTTAATTTACCGAAATTTCGTTGCAATGACAGATTAATTAAACAAAGCTGTGTAAATGTCGTTGTGAAGGGGAGCTATACACTTATTATTTGAGTGAATTATTTGCTCACTTCGTATGAAACGAAACTGCAACCATTTGTCCAAGTGAATTGTTGTTTTTTTTGCAAGTACGAGCTCAGATGATTGGAGACAATAGATACGATCTGTATTTACTCGAAAAAATGGCATTGCATTGGTACTATGAATTCATTTGCTAAAATGATGACTTCATTGCAATTTCCGTCTAGTCCGGGTCTTCTATTTAAATTATTTTGTGAATTTAGAAGTGGAAATGATACATTTGCCAGTCCATTAATGTTAGGCAATTCTGCAATACTCTTTCTCTTCGATCTTTCATTACTATTTTCTGTTACTTAAATACAAATTTAAGTAGTCGAATTTCTGCATCACGCTGTATAATTAATTTTAGGGAAAAATCGATAAATTGTTCTTACAGAGCGTAACAATCCGATGGACAACTGATTCCTGCATATGGTAATGATTTGAGCAGATAATTTGCATAACGAGGGCACAAAATCACCTGATATTGCATAGTTGATTCTATCCGACCTGTACTAGCCCCTCAATGGCCTCACTTAAAGCCATAAAATGATCTGAGACAATTGATTTTTGAAAATCGATTTGCCGCCAGATTTTACAAACGTTGTTCTCCATGATTAAGAGACAACAGTTTCATTTAAGGTATATTCATTAAGCCATCTCAATGTCCTTCTTAATCACCTTTATCCCCCCCCACTTATACTCCATATAGTAAAATTAAAACTTGGCGAAAATTTCTCGAAGTTAAAGCACAAATTGTAATTGGAAATATCCTTGCTGACTTCTGGACAATTTTATGTCATTTTTTTATCATTTCTCATGAGTTCGCATTCACTTTTTTGAGCATTTTTATATTGGGAAGAAAGAGATGAATGGTCCAAGGGCAATAAGTTCTTGGATTAATTCGAATTATAACTTTCTTAACTTGTCGGCTTTCTATACACCTCGCACTACTGTTATGAAGTTCGAATTTGAAGATCCGTCAACCTAGATTATTGATTATTGGGTTTGCAACCTCCATGCTTATGTCTTATTGATGAAACGATCGATGATACGACTTGGATACAATTTCGCTTATTTTAATAAGTTTAATTATGCGAAACATTGGAATATTCAAATTATGCGATGCGTTCGACGCGTGGACTTAATTTGGGGAGAGGGGGTAGTAGAATTTCATCTTTTGTTCCAGGATTTTTACTGATTTGTTATTTGAATAGGAAGTAGATGCGTCCTTGGGCTTTTTCGAAATCTCCTTTTTGAAGAGATTCAGATGGAATTTTGTGTCAAACTCTTTCAGATAGCATTCCTTCAATTAGAGCCTGGTCACTTGTTCTGAAGGCTATTGATCCCGTTAAAAGTGTATACATATTCCTTTATTTTTCCCCACCATTCGCATACAATTGCCATATTTACACTCAATTTTAACAACTACTTTAAGTAGTGGAAACTCTATTCATAATTTCCTGAAGAAATTAGTTTAATCCTTTATAAAAATATTAATCAAAAGTTTAGGTTGAATTTGGGTGAAAGTTGTGCATTTATTATTTAGGCAAGAAGTTTTGCGGAGTGTGGAATTCGTAGGGTTTCCTTTTCCATGGGAGAGCATATATCAATTCCCAAACCTGTTAAGTGCCACCGATTCAATCAAAAACCACACAAACATTTTAAATCTAAATATTCTTACCTCTTAACAGGGTATTTACAATTAAATAACTTCTAGTTCCTTGTGATGAGAACTTAAAGTTCATTGTTTAACTTTCCAATTGTGAATTTTAATACCCCAAATTTGGGAATTTGTCACATAATACAAGCTTTATTTTCCTGTGAAATTATTTCGCCTTATCATGTTTTTCACTTTGAAGGTACTCCTTCGACATCATTCGCCCCTGTTGATGTGGACTTGCTCATTAGAAAGGCAGTAAGTCAATGGCAGTTAATTAGGCCATTGAATTATGAAGTGTCTACCTTGATAAAATCGATAATTTCAACTTTTTCAGTCCACAGATAAAAATTTGACTTACTTGGTACAAAAATCGATTCCTCTTCTATGGCAAAATTCGAATGAATGGATCCAAGCTTTCAGCAATGTCACAAAGGCGAATGTCCATCGAACATCTCCATCTCTATTTGAGTAAGCTCATTTCAAAGTATGATCGTAATAAAACGAGCAAGTATTTATCCACAAAAATTAAATATTATAAAGGACATTTAAGAACCTAAGAGGCAGTATGACGCAATGTCAACCTCATGCATCAAAATTTTACACCAGATTAAACTTACTTAATGTTTTACGTGTATTACTTAAACACAACCATTTAAGTAGTATCACTACACTAAAGAAACTTATTCTTTATGAGCGTAGGGTAAAGTAATAAAGCAGGCCAAAGCATATAAAAAGAAGCCATTTTTGCGAACTAAGAAAACGATTTAATTCACCTTAAGTTTAAAAATATATTTATATTTTAATTCCATTTTTCGAATTGCCAAATGTGACTGGTGGAGAAAATATTTTTGGGGAAAATGCCAAGTGAGCGTCTTTTCAAAAGTATGAAAATGCATACGGAATGAACTATTCGATTTACAGAAAAAAAAACTTTTATTGTAGATTAGGAACAATGAATGTGTTAGGAAGAAGTGATTGAAGTTTCTAAATAAAAAATTTACTGTTCCAACTAAAGATGTTGTGCGCGTATTTATCTCTTTAGATCGAAGGAGGAAGTGAGTTCGGAAAACTTTCTTCGTTCTGTTGAAACCCTCCTAGACCTTCAGACTCAACGTCAAATGAGTATAAAAAATTATCGGCCACTTCGAGGCCAAACACCTAGTGATATTCCACAAATTTCTGCTTCCACGGTTGTCCAGTCAGCATCTGCTCTACTCAATGTCTTCTCAGCGTTTACTGGTAATCAGGATTCCTCGGGTCATGCAAAACACGGTGCAGATGAATATACAATTCAAAGAAATGGACTGGAACTCAGAGTACGTTTTTGAGTTACTTCAAAAGTAAAGATTTTGCTTTCTTCACTATTTAAAAAAAAATCAACAAATTGAATTTTAAGATTCCCATTCAACATTAAGTCGACATTTTCCTCTGTTTTTGAACTATTTATCAGCAATTTGACCCTGAATTCATATCTCCTATGTTTTGCTTACACTTTCACACTGCAAAGCGCAACGCAATTAGATATCTAAATTTCACGAATGGGGTCTTTATTTATTTCAAATGGCAGGCGTTTTGGTAGTTATCATTAGCCCTTTAGCTGACTTCGGGCTTCAAAGAGGGAAGGAACATCAAAATGAAACATTCGAGAGGGGGGGGGGAACAGAAGAGTGCAAATGTAAAAGAGGCAGACACAGAGGAAGAGAAAAAGGTAAGATGAGTACTGGGGAAGTGGTCGAATTTGACACAAAGTGGAGTCATGGTAGTTTGAAGTGAGAAGTCAACTGCTGGTTAATTGACTTTTTTGCCGTATGCGTATGCGTTGCCCAGGGTGAACCACGTGGAGGTGAGTCTATCACTCACCCCACAAATGGGGTATAATGTTGAACAAAAATTGTGAATACTTTCTTCAGTTATAATTGCTAGTTAGTGACTAGTAAATTCAAATTATTGACAGCAAACAACATATCAAAAGTGTGAGAGATAAACAATAACCTCACGTTTGCATCTAACACAAATAATATCGGATATGGAGTATACAGGCAAATTATTGATTGTTAAATTAAAACTGAGTAATTATCGATTTGGGAGTGAAAGTTAATGAATTAAATGTTCCTCTTTTTTTGAATTAAGGGAAAAATTCCTAACTGCTTTCTTATCTCATACCCTTAAGTGGCTTTTATTTTATTTATTATTATTTTTTAATCAAAGTATTCCTCTTGAGTAACAAGACAATTCATATGCAAATTACATCAACTGTTGCCGCTAATTTGGGGAAGGGGGTGGGGAATTCTGGAGGTCACGCTTAAATTTTAAGAGAGGCATTAGAAATACGCTCTTGGATGCAGGAAATCTCGTGAAGGAGTCCAACCTCATAGATTTAAGGTGTGTGGACCCTTACGGTAGGCTTGAAATAACCAAGAAGAGGTCACGATTTCTGAGATCAGTAGGAGGAACAATGAGCACTAACGAGAAGGCAAACTTTCCATCGCTTAGACAACATTCCATTGGAGCAATTATTTCCACTTGTACTGTAGATTAGAGCAATTGGGACTCTAAATCGTTCCAAATTACAGGTTAGAGAACTTGAGCATTTGACAGTAGTTTGCAATGAATGTCCGCAATTCTGAAATTTGAATAGCGGTTGAAATAAGTATCCACGATTTTGTAAACAGGTGGTTCAACTACATTTAAAATAGATCACCAGATCGTTCAATCAGATTGCACAATTGAAATTCAGAATAGAAATCGGCACTCTGCCTAGCAGTAGAGATAAAATGGACCAAAATAGAAAAAAAACTGATCAGATGAATTATATTACCTCTGACCTCACCGTGATGATCAAGTACGTAAAGGTCTCTGACAGGAACTTAAGGATTAAATTTCGAAATTTGTCGAATTTAACTGACTTCCAATCAAAATTTTCTTTCAATGTTTTGAGTACAGGGATTTGCCCTTGCCTCCTTCTCAATTATTTGGATTTCATCTGTAAAATCCTAGGGGTATGGTGACTATAAGATTGGTGGTGGAAACGCTCGATTCTTGTGTCCCCTTTCCCGTGTTCCCTTTCTCCATTTACCCCGTTTTTTTCTCCAATCGAGTTTACAATTCCCCCCCCCCTTCCTTGCCACACACTCCACTCTTATCTTTCTGATTTGAAACTGTGTCTGTGGTTATTGCTGTTAGCGGTGATTGCCCTATCGTTTGTCTTGAAACGGACTCCAAACCTATCCTCTATAATTTAGAATTCTGGTGAGATAGTGCTCCATCGATTTCCAGCTCTTCCTACCTTCCACTTCTTTTGCATTAAAATTGATTTTAAGCTTTTAAATTGAAAATTCAAACTTTTTGCCAGCAATAGTATTGTTTTATTTTACTGGAGATAGGCGAATAGTTAATCCTTTTAGTAGGTCACAAAATGTGGAGAACCGATTTGAATATGTTTTTTAAAAGTGAAGAAAGTTTAATTTTTTTGCAAATCTGCATATCTCTTTATCATGCTTCATTCTCAAAAATTAAATCGGTGAGGAACACTTGATTATAAATCGATTTAAACCGTAAAATCGATACTACTATTTAGGAATAGGTCTAAAAAGTAATAATTGCTAATTAAGCGTACTTAAGCCATTCTACTTATTTTTTTATCAATACTAGATGCCACTTATCATTTGAGTAAATAAATAGATAATAATAATTGTTATGATTTCTATACCTTTAACACAACAGAAAAATAAGTCTCCATGCCTCATAGGTAATTTTTTTATTAGCTAATTGATTTCTAGACAGTTTATCACCAAGTGCCTATGTTAATGACGGAATGTTACTAGAAGCATTATTTATCAATGAAAAAAGTGAGGATGAAGAAATGAAGCACAAAAATTGGTCATTCGAAATTGTTTTATATTTTCTTTCCATGAAATGGGGGGGGGATAGGTTACATATGTCTTGTGGGGTGGGGGGTGCGATTTGACAGAAACTCAGTCAAACTTCGTCTTCAATATGGACAATCTAAGGGTTTTTTGTTAAAGAACCAATGCGTTCTCTTTGGATATCAAGAATCTATTAATGTCAATATCCTTTCCAAAAAGGCTCCTCTAAAGTAACCATAGGCAAAGCGGTAAGAGACACTTCGCAACGTCGCGATCATGTGGACATATTTTGTATTTTAACATGAAGTAATTACTCAAAGGCAGTTTTTAGTCAAAGTGCCCATAAAAACTGTGGTACCCGGGGTGGTTAGTGATAGACCACTTGCTGAGGCTACTTGATTTGACTTTGACAAGTCTTCAAATGCCTCTGGTGTTTGTCTGTTGAATCGGCAGTAATTGTTGCTGTGTGATGGTCGTCTAGGCTTCTGCACGAATTTCCAAATACATCACAAATTGTGCAAAGGATTTTATTCAAAACGCGCGAATTTATGTTGTTTAGCGCAATCTGTGATGACGATCTATTGAAAGGATCTGATTACTCAGTGCTGTAAACATTTCAGCAGATAAATGGAACTTCTTGCGTCCTTCTTTTATCCGGATCTTAAGCGCCTTTTCTAAATCAAAACGACTTTTACACAGACCTCCCTATTTGTTTATTGTTTTGATAGAATCGCGACATGCGACAATTGTTGGCGGTCAAAACGCTATTGTAATTCTGAAATTTGGACTTTAAACAAAAATTTTTAACAGGTGTCTTTGCTTATTTTGCAGGAGTAAGACTTTTAAAACTATGGAATTTGTGACTTAATTAAATATTGCTTTTACTTGTTTAAATTGATAGGATAAGTTTGTTTCTTTATTCTAAAGCAAATAGCGCGTCTTTTGAGTAGACCGCTAGTCAAATAGCGTCAACAGTATTTATTTATTTATTTCAAATGGTAGGCATTTCGGTAGTTATCATTAGTCCCTTTGCTGACTTCGGGTTTCACAGAAGGGAGGAACATCATAGTGAGAAAAATTCGAGAAGGGGAACGGAAGAGTGATTCTCAGGTTTAAAAGAGACAGACAGACACAAAGGCAGAGAATTTGTAAGATGAGTACTGTGGAAGTGGTTGGATATGACACACAGTGGGGTCTTAGTAGTTTGAAGTCAGAAGTCAACTACCGATTGATAGACAATTTTGCCGTGTGAATATACATTGCCAGGATGCACCACGTGGAGAGGTAAGTCTGTCGCACACCCCGGGTTAACAGTATTGGAGACTGGAAGGTTTGTTACATCTAATAATAATAATGATTAAATGAACTAGAGAATAAGTGATTGCGAAATGGATGGGAAAATACATCAATGCGCAACCAAAAGTTGGAACGAATTTTAAGTAAATCGAATAAGCAGAAAAACGTTCTCAACTTGTGGCGTGGTCCGTAAGGGATGTTACGGTTCAATGAGTTTGACTAAAAATAGTTTGTTAAAAGAGTGCTTCAAATAAGCTGTCAGGTCAATAAGTAATTCCAACCAGTTTGTCTGTGTGTTGTCTGCACTAACTTCAGTCCAAACGTTAATATATTTGCTCGAATATTTTCGTTTGCAAGTTCACGTTGCTTTGTGAAATTGGTGGTTGCAGAATGTGTGCTTTTTTAAGCAATTTACGCATTTTGAATTATGCCATAGCCATACTGTCTCGTGTATGAAAGCGGTTTTTTTTTCGACTCCTCCCGCACCGGTGAGAGGAGTGGATTTGCGGAGCCTCCCTGTTGGGAAACTCGAATGCTTTACGCCAGATTTAACTATTCCTCTTGGCCACTACAACCCCCCCACACCCCCCCAACCCCACACCCCCTACCTCCTGGTTCTAACTACGCAGTTGGGTTACATTAACTACTGTTTCACTACGGTACAGTAATTCACGCGCTAATCATAAAAGAATAGTTATCAACAGTGTATTTAGAAAGTGTAGATTTATAAAATGGAGCGAAATGTACGAAAGCAATCATAGAATTTCATTTGTTTAGGGACAAAGGTCGGGAATAACAAAAAGGGTATCAATTGAGCTTGCATGTCGTTGATAATTATTGGTAAAGGAGTGTTATATATACTGTTGCCATAGTTTGAATTGATTGGTGGATACGCGTCATTTCAAATACGCAGTTAGTTTAAATAGCTAGTTCCTGGCTATTGTCATTATCCGGTGCCAAATGAACCACATAGAATCCCGTTTAATTTTTTTGGAAAACCCAACTGTTATTTACGATTAAATAATCTATACTATTTCAAATGGCAGGCTTTATGATAGTTATCATTAACCCCTTAGTTGACTTCAGCTTTCCCCATGGTTAGGGGGAGGGGGGGGGATACATGTATAGCAGTCAATTAATGGCATATGTCTATGTCATAGGTATGTAAGATTTTCTGGATTTTGATCTTTTTATCCTGTGACATCCCTCCGGTATTCCATTGAAGGATCTGTATAAGTCGTGATTCGCCCTGACGAGGGCGATTTCTCTTATAGCCTTGTTTCAAGCTAATCACAATGAATAGAAGACAAATCAGATGCCGAGTGATAGACTTTTTGCCGTACGAAGATACCTTGTCCAGGGTGCACCACGTGGACGTAAGTCTATCGCGCACCCCACGATAAAATAATCTTTTGCTTGAGAAATTTGATCTTTGGTAGGTATAAAAGCATTTGATAGCGACAGAATTTCGTAGCAAATCTTAAAATTTGGAGACATGTTTTAATATTTCTTTAAATGCTATTGGTAATTGTAAATGAACCAAAAAAATAACATTTTCACCGGAAATAAATGTTAATGTGACTTTGTATTCAGAGAAATTTGCATCGCAAAAAATTTGTTTCAGCTTTTGCCTATTTGTCCTTTTGGAACAATATTTTTGTTCTTTTTCGAGTAGAAATTCTTTAAATGTTTACTTTTCTGCTACGTGTTTTTTGTGAATATTTGCATGAACACTTTCAGCTAATAGTCTGCAATTTTGTTTAAACGCATATCCTAACAATAATTCAATTGATTAGTAATAAGAAATTGGATGTCTTTAGGTCACTTCCTCTTTTTTGATCTAACACTCGTAAATGCTCTGTTATTTGTTCTAATCCTAGCATCATCGCAACTCCACGATTGTAGTCTCTCAAATATGTTCAAATTTCTCGGGAAATCTTTGGTGTAGTTTTTTTTTGATAATGTCTCGGTGTTCTTGAGATGGTAGTTTGGAAGGCTTAATCTGATGAGATGACTATCTCGTTGAGTTGCTTATTTAATTTGCGGTCAAAAATTGCTTCTTTTTCATTTTCAGCGAATAAAAATCAACAGGAATCAAAGCTACACTACTTCCGATTCAATTGAGCTCCAATCCATCTCCAATTCAACGGGTAAGTATTGATTTTATGCTTAAAAATTAATCCCAATCAGTAAAATCAATATTTTGGGATAGTTTCTTCCAATATTCATCTACTTATTAGAATTCCATTAATTAAACTTTGCATTCAAGTGTTAGAAGATTAAGTGCAGAAATTTGGATAAAAATTTTAGGCATATCTGCGTGAATTCCCGACTTAGTACTGAAAGTTCTTGTTAATTCTGCCATTCTTTTAATGTA